ACTTTCTAATATATTTAATAAGTTGTCAAACAGCCCAGCATTGAATGTAATGACATGCAAATTTCTGGAGTTGCCCCAGTGTCTCCGTGAAGCTACAAGTCTTCTTGAGAATGCTTCATGCTAAAAGATCACTCTGGCTGCGGCTAGTTCTGTTAGGCCTACCTGGGACCAGAGTCAGAACCTGGCTCCCTCACAGAGGAGCAGAGAGCAAGTGACAATCCTTCATCTCACCAAAAAAAACTCCAGAAAGACAGTGCAGCTTTACAGACTAACGTGAGTGAATTGAAGATAATTCTGGGATATGGGATGCATTGCAAGTGCAACCTTCAGTAAACGTCCCCCTTAAGAGCAGGAGAGACTGCTGAAATACATAGAGGTACAGTAATACAGAGAACATATACAGTATACGTAGACGCGATAAAGCACCTAAATTATTGGGATCGTCTCAAAGCTCTCCAAATGTAATCAATAGAAAGGAGACAAGAGAGATCAAATAATATACACGTGAAAGATACTGGAGGGTCAGGTCTCAAATCTACACAGTAAAATAACAACATAATGGAGTGAACGATATGGAAAAAAATGCAGAATAGAACCAGTGAAGAGCAGAGGTGCCATAGGCACAATCAGAAAACACTGTATAAACATCAGAGGTCCACGGTTGTTCAACATCCTCTCAGTGAGTATAAGAAATATTGCCGGGACAACTGTGGACATCTTCAAGAGAAAACTAGATAGTTTTCTTCAAGAAGTGCCGGACCAACCAGGCTGTGACGGATACATGGGCCTGCGAGCCACTCCAATTAACAGCCTGTTGGACCAAGCTCTCACAAGTCAAGCTTGGCCTCGGGCCGGGCCTGGGGAGTAGAAGAACTCCCAAAACCCTATTAAGCAGACAATTGGAAGGTTCACAGACATTGAAGTCTCAAAAAACTGCCGAACAAGTACTGCATACAAGTCACATTGAATAAAGGTTTCCCTCAAGACTTATCTTCTTGAGGTTATCTTTAGATGATTTCGGGGCTTAGCGTCCCCGCGGCCCGGTCCTCGACCAGGCCTCCTTTTTGTTACACACTTCCCAGGAAGCAGCCCATAGCAGCTGTCTAACTCCCGGGTACCTATTTACTGCTAGGTAACAGGGGCATCAGGGTGAAAGAAACATTTTGTCCATTTGTCTCTGCCTTCACCGGGGATCGAACCCAGAACCTCAGGACTACGAATCCGAAGTGCTGTCCACTCAGCCGTCAGGTTCGCACTCATTTAGTACTAAATTACCACTACCATGCAGCCTGGCCCTATCTCCCAGTCAGTTTGGACCTGATGAAGAAACCCATGACAAACCTGATGGGCAGAAGAGGAGACGAGACAGGGAGCCATCAGGGCTCCTCCAGAAATTGCCACTTTATTACATTTAGTGCTGGGACCACATATCAGAAAATGAAGAAATGATTACTGTACGTTACGATCCGTCTAGGATCGTTATCAAATTGTATCTTCAGCCATGCTTTTGTGACTCATTGTCTGCATTCAATGCTTGATTTCTGGAGGGAGCCTCTTGTGGCTCCCTGAAGCTAATCTAACTACAGAGAACAAGGGATGTACCAGGAGAGAGAGGCAGCAGGCACTAAAGACAAAGAAGAGAAACCAGGCCGGGCAACACAGCCTAAAGCCACTCACAAGCGACTGGGGCTAGGAACATTCACTAAATGCTGAACTCCCAGCACCCTGTTAGAATACCAAAACCCCCAAACCTGTATTAGAACCCACAGCATTAGAGAAGATAATAGCCAAAGCCACATATGTATGAACATGGGCCCCAAGAGTAGACTGTAGGCAGGTTAGACTTTGTGGCACTCTGGACAACCTGGAAAATGTGAGCCTTGGAACAAGGAACCAAGGAAATGGGATCGGCCAACAAGGCATCCATTGAAACAGAAATCGGTGCCAAGCAGGTACCGGTGAAAAGCTGCCACAGGACAGAATAAATGATACAAAGCCCAAGTAGTTGGGCAAGCAGGCCAGAGGTAGAAGAACACACGAGAACTTGCGGAACAGCACCGTAGAGATGTCAACACCAAAATACGAGCAACAGTGGCTCCGCTAGAGTTGAATAATACGAGTTGAGAGTATTCGGCATAAGATGTCGATCGAGAAATAACCAACATAAAAAGGAGAGAACAGAGTGAACCGAAACTGACAGAGACAAATAGTGGCAAAAAGAGTGCCCGGCTACCCCATACTGTCACTGTGAAGAAAGACAGGTGAGAAACCAACAAACCTCCCACCTACGCACCATATAAATGGTAAGAGACACATGTCATAGAGTCCAGACGCATAGAGCAGAGTAGGAGTTGAACCGGTGAAGCACACCACCAGACCTACCTGCTGGAAGAGAGAGCCATGAAAAAATGCCCAAGTTCAGACACTGAACTAGAAGCTTCCAGAAGACACTGGAATAGGACACCAGAAACCAAGATTGGGCCAGCCACCAAGGAGCCAGAAGGTTCTCTCTTCCCATGTACAGTACAACACCAGACTGGTCAACACCTGGAGCAACAACTGAACTGGGGAAAAAGTAAATGCACCTCCACTGTGACCAAGTCAATCGAAAGGCATCCACTGCAAAAGCCTCATGGTTGGGAATGGAGCCATGTGAAGGAAAGCAGCAGTACCACACTGATGCAGAGTGTTCCACCTCGGGGAGCCCAAATGTCTTGCAAATCCAACAGAAGAACGTGTCGTCGATGGTCCACTCCATGGAGATGGGCTGAAAGCAAGACAGCCCATCCATGAAAATATTGGATACACACCCCACACATAAACTGCATGGAGAACCAAACCCTGAGAAGCCAGAATGTGAGCTATATGAAGCATCCAGCTCAAAAGGGCAACAGACTGAAAAGTGCTTCCCCACCTTGGTTCAGGTAATGAACCACCAAGGAACAATCTGAATGGAGCCAGAACACCGAGGCCAGAGGAAACGGAATCCTTCTTCAAGTCATGTCACACAGCTGCAAACTTGCGCATCGTGCTGTGCGCTCGACAGAACAAACGTGACCACCAACCCTGGGCAGTTTGGTGAGCACTGATCATAAAGCTCCACCCCAGAGACGAGGCATCTGTTGAGATGAGGCAATACATTATGCACTGGGGAAGGATGGCACCATCAAACTGAACCCTGAAAAATCTGAAGGTTAAGTTGACAAAGCAAGAGCCAGCAAAGGGCAGGAGGGGTCTGAACTTGCCTGTCCAGGGACCAGTAGAACCAGAAAAAACAGAACAATGCCCAGAGATATGATGAGGCAGGCAAAGTTCACACTTCAGCATAACTGCTTGACCAACGGGAAAGTCACCTGGGGCCGATCCAACACCAGATGGCAATGAAGCTGCAGGTGGAACAAAGCCACTGGAGGCAGGGAAAGATACACCAATTGAAAATCCCAAATGAGGCTTGGCCAAGCCTGGGACAGCTCCAACGGGTACTTTTGTCAGTTCACCAGAAAACCTGAACCAACAACCTTGACCAACCTAAAGTCCCCACCCAACCAGAATGTCTATGAAAGGGTACAGAAAACACCTGATTAATTGGGCAGGAAGAGAAAGCCGCTGCCAAAACAACCTAGGACAAAACAGCCTTGGGAAAGAGGGTAAAAATAGGGAGGCAGCCACAGGAGTAGGTGATCATGCCAAATCTAAACAGGCCAGCATAGTCGGCCGATACGAGAAGTGGGGCCAAATAAAATGCTGCCACTGCCTCCAAAAGGAGAGACACGAGCATCTTTGACAAGGTCACCAGGGCCAGAACCGCAGGCCACAAGGTCACCAGGGCCAGAACCGCAGGCCACAAGGTCACCAGGGCCAGAACCGCAGGCCACAAGGCCTCCGTTCCCATATTGGACCTCGGTGAAGCCACATTCTCATCAAGACACTCAGCAACCCCCTCCACAAGGACCAAGACATGCAACACTGCAGAAGGTCCCAACATGCCCTATGGTCATCCACAATAAGAGCCCTGGAAAGCGTAGGCAACTGCACATGGAGCTGCCACTTTCCCACATCCTTGAGCTGTACTAGAGCAAACAGGGAGGACTGGAGGAAAGCAAATTGAGCCCTGCTGAGAAACACCTAAAAGATGGAGCTCACCACCTGCCAGTCAATCACACGGTAATGACAGAACACTGCCAAGACCCCAAGAAGAAAAAAAGGAAAGAAGAGGGGTCACGAGTTGGCCAGGATGAGCCCGAGACCTCAAACTGTAACCAAAAAAGATGGACCCGAATTCAAAAGAGGCAGGGTCCATCACAGAAAAGAAGTCTGAACTTTACAGGAGGTACTGAAGCAAATCAGCTTGAACCACTAATGGCACAGTGTGGGATAGAAACCTTTGGAAAAAAGACGAATCTAAGTTGCCTAACGGGACCCTGAAATGAGCCCATGGGGGAGCTGCTGAAGGATCAAACTCATCCATGGCTCATTTGTTGTTCATTGCACAGCATCCAGTTGCTCATTTTAGTGAACCTCATTCCATGCGATTCATTTGCATTAGTCATCTGGCAGTTTTCAAGGCTTCATTTCCTGTGAACCCTTCAATTGTCTATAATGCACCAACTTTTTGGAGGCTTTTTCTGGCGAGGTGGAGGATTGTCACCTGGTCTCTGTGCCGCTGTGAGGGGGAGGTAAGGTTCTTGCTCTGGTTCCTGGTAGGCCTAACAGAACTTGCCACAGTTGATGTGACCTTTTAGTATGACGTAATCTTCAGTAGACAGACAGCTTCAGGGAGCCACAAGGGCTACCTCCAGAAAACAAGTTTAAATTTGGATCTTTTATTTAGAACTTTATTCTCTTGTTTTAATTTAGGTAGTTGTATGTCATCATAATTGTATTTTCATTGCATTTCAATATTATTGTGACACTTTTTTAGGTCATATTTCTCTATTACTTTATTTGTGGTAACTTCATAAGTTATGAAAATACATATAAAATTTATCTTTAAATCACAGGTGTTCGGATGGCTCAGGAACTTCTACGAGGTGTGGAACAGCTGCTGGACTCAGAGATGGGAGAATTGCGCAGGCGAACAGCTGCAATGTCCTCCCGTATACGGCTCCTGGGCAGGAGTGATTCTGGCTCTGACAGTGTGAGCAACATCAGCAGTCCAAGTAGCAGCAGTGGTAATAGTAGTGCTAGTGGCAGGAGCAGCAGCAGTGGTAAAAGCCCAGATGTTCACACCACACACATAATTGTTACTACACTTGAAGATAATGAGCCTTCAAATATTAAATCTGCGAAAAATATAAAAAATCCATTGCATGCAAACAAGTATCCTGAACCAGCACAAGGAACTCTTGTAACAAGTCGAGCTCGTAGTGAGCCTCCATTTCCAGGGGAAGAGGGCCTGTACCGTGCACGATCCTGTCCTGGCCTTCCAAGACCAAATGGAAGCTGTGAGGGCAATGAAACAGTCTCAGCCTTATTGCCAGACTTACAACTGGTGCGTCTTCGTGGGTCACGTCCACCAGCATCACAAGAAAAATTTTTGAACCGTTACTCTTGTGGAGCTTTGGATGCCCACCAGCCAACCACTTCCTCATCATTCGAGTCTTGTCCAGACTTTGGAAACTTGAGGCAGTGTGTCCGTGAGGGAGACTCCGTTCATTCCTCCTCTTCCTCACTCTCTTCAACTCACTCCTCTTTTACAAGACTTCTTCAGGTGTCATGAGATATTTAAGTCTCTTCATATGACGTAAGATATTCAGGCCAAGGAATTTATGCTGTATTTTATTTTGTGTGAAAATCCTGTGAAAAGCATTTTTTACAATTTATTATGCTCTTCAATAACTGAAATATGTGAATTATTTATAAAAAAAAAAAGGGTGGAAAACAAATAGAGACTGTGCTACAAAAGTCAGAGAAATGAATGGCAGCTCAGCCCACCGCACCAGAAAGTGATTCGAAGAGTTCAAGTCACACGATGGTGACGATACTTTTGTACAAAATACACCACCCAAGTAACTTCAATGTGATGGAATTTTTGTTCCTAAATATATGACTTATTAAGTGCTGCACTCAGTGTGTGAAGATATTAAACAAGAACTGAGTAATCCAGTTTTGGTAGTTTTCAGGTTCTGATGTCAGCACACAAATGTACATTTTTCTCTGTACAGTAGCAAGGGCCCCCACATGCTAGTCGCTGCGGAACTGTGGAGTCGAGGAGTTTGCTTGTACACTAGTGTAACGTGTTAATGATTAAATAGTTTCAGATCTATTTTCTCAGGATATTAATTTATATTCATTTGAGTTGAAAATTTATAAAAATATATGTGAAATTTTACTAAAAGTTAATAACCTCACACCATAAATAAATATTTAAGTATATAGAGTACTTTTAGGAATTAAGAGTTTCCTTTTGCCATTTTCACTGGATAAACACAACTAAAAAAAAAAAAAGACTTATCAGTGAAATTAATCCAACTTTCAGGTTGTTAATAAAGCTCTATTTAATACAGGTAACTTCTTTGACTCTGTTGTTGTGGTTTGCAATTACCCTCATTCATCACCCATCTTACTACCAGTTAATTGGGGGGGCCCATGTTATATTTGTAAATACCTAGAATATATTTGATTCACTTTAAATTATTAAACATGATTGGATTTACCTTAGTCACTCAGGCAGCAAGCAATATAATGCTGGTGTTGTACATAGATATGTAGGTTACTAATTTTAACAGTATGGTAATCATTAAGTTGAACTGTATCTGGCTGGTAAGGCAAGAGGTCGACTTGTAAAGTCTGATGATTGACAAGGAAAAGATGACTTGGCTTATTGATTAACAAACATTTTGCTCAATAGTAATTTAGTGTGCAGGGTAATACGGTGTGAAATATTTTGTTAATTGATTTTTGTTCATTCTAGTAAAAAAATTTACTTTTCAGATAATCACATAATGTGCCTAAATATTGTATTAGTTGAATTATCCATTGACAGTAGTAAGAGAAGTAAAATGACTTATTTGAAGGAAACGAAGTTATGCCCCAGTCTATAAAATTAACAGTCCTGTCTGTGTTTGTGATTTTGGGCATAAGAAAAAAAAAGTTCACTGGCAAATGACAAAGATGTTTGCATTTCATTGTGCCATATTGTAATTTTACCTTCAGAATTTGCTCCCTAAGTTAATTAGCATGAGTAAACTTTTGAATTATGTTGTGTTCATCTGTATCACAAAGGGTTTTTAATAGACTTCTCATTGAAAATGTTCATATTTTAAATATTCATGTTCGTGTTATGTCTTAAAACAGTTTATAAAGTATAACATTTTTCTCGGTAGTATTTATATGTTTGTCTTAGAATTGCTTCAGTAACAATGTTTGAGTCAAAGTTTATATTGAATTCAATTTGGCTAGTTTAGCTCTAAATGCAGAAACAATGAAATATACCTTATAATCAAAAAGTTTTGGTGCTGTACTCCGAGCCCAAAAACACATCCAAGAGAAGCTTAAGGTCTAATTTGGCTTAAAATATTCTAACTCAGAATGAACAAGGATAATAAAGTTTTCAAGGACATTTAAAGCAGAACAATGAATATACCTCCAATAATTACATTGGTTCACACTGCCCCCTCTATATTCATCCTCTCTGCTGTAATACTTTTTGGGAAAGCTTATATTGTCTTTGTTAATTGTGTCAAAAGTCAAGAAATGTTTGATATCAAAGCCAGAAACAATCATCAGGCAAACTTGAAGTTGCCTCTCGTGTAAAAACAAAACAAAAAGGCTGTCATCAATGCTATACTGCATTGAAGTATTACTTTACAACATTAGCGAGTACTTAAGTGACATTATGTGACAATAATATAACTATGGTGTTGCAATGCAGGAGACGTGTACTTTGGCATCAGTGAGCCAGGTATTGTCATTCAGGGTGCATGTACCTCTACAAGAAATATAATTCATCAAGAGGTACAAACCTCTGTAGCAGGCATATACCCCATGTAGAAGATATGCTCCTATACACGAGACACATACCTCGGCATCACTGACCCAGGTATTACAACAGCAGGTAATATACAGTCTATCAAGATACATATCAGTCACATGATACTTGTGTATGGTAAATCATTAGTTTGCTTGCATTGTGCCCTTTTGTTCCTAATGTGAACACACTTGTCAAGATACACCTCAAATTTATTCTCGGCATCAACAACAACAAAAGTAACGAAGCTGTTTGCCGAGGCCAATTGGTATTTGTTACGTAGTTTTAGTATACTGGTACTAGGCAATGATAAGCAAATCTGTGACTGTTGCCATACACTTTGCCAAATATTGACTGTAGTCATTTTCTGATGCATAATGTCTCAGCATTTGTGCATACAACATGGAATATTGGTCACCAGGGTTACCATATTGTAATATTAAGTCTTATTTTATTATTATTTTATTTTGAGTGAGGTGGGTCTTGAAAAATGAAAGCAAAATTTGAAGTGGTTAAGTGTTTGTATATATTTGTTAATTATGCAGGAATAACAATTTGCTTCTGTTAATAGATACAATAATTTGGCTGTGAGCTTGGAAATAGTGTTTCACAGAGTGATATTTCAAACTGTGGAATCCATAAGCTGTACTTTATATCATTTCATGAAAAAAATTTATTATATTTAATTGATTGAGCCTTATGATTGTGTAGAATATAAGTTTATGGCGTTGAGAAAGCTGGCTCTGTCGTCTTAAGATGCTGGCTACTGCAACACAACACAGCATCCCAATATAATTCTAGGGATGATCTTGAAATAAAGTAATTTATAACTACAAATTCATAATTATAAATTTGGGATCAATATCTTCAAATATTTACTGGTAAATTATACTGTACAAGTATCAACAGTGTTGGAAAATTAGGTACAAATGTCACTTGTTTGTACCGTACTTTATTATGTTAAATAGGTGCAAAAAGTATATATTTTGGAAATTAATGCAGAATTAAGATTGCTTTATATGTTGATAATTAGGATCATATTCTACCTGTATGCCATTTAACAGTGTTTCTTCTCTTTACTTTGCATTTTTGCACACTATAGAGGCTATGCTTTCAAAGATCTATTGACAGTTGGCATTAAAGATAACTTGTGAGGCTTTACTTTAGGTCTTAAGTACTGTATGTATGGTGTCGAGTATTACCGCCAGCAGCGTCACCATTTGTCCCCACCATCGGGGACACCATCTCTTATGCTGCTCTTGTTAACTCAAAATGTCTTGGTCTTCCAACACTTCTACTATTACACAGAAATTCAGTTCATGGTTACTGTCGGTAATAACATTTTGAAAAGCTAAGTTAGGTCTTAGCCAACTGATATCAACGTAAACAGCAAAACATTGAACTGAATCTCATACAGTGTATGACTGGAAAATAATGATTAATTTTTTAACTGATATAATCACTTGAATGAAGGAAGGTTATTTGCTTAGTTTTTTGAAAATAATTTTATGTTGCACAGAAGAACTTTTAATGAAAAGTACCGGTAACTTGACGTGTAATGGAAATTGTGAATAGGGTATTGAAGATGATGGCTGACATGCCATACATAACAGTGGATGATAAAACCTGCACATCAGAGTTGACTATAAAATTAAGCAGTATTGGTTAATATGTTAGACTATTATTACATTAAATTACATTACATGTAAACATTTTCTTGCATCAAAATTTCTGCATTCAAGGAATTAGTTACTGTAATTAATTTTTTTATGAGGACAAGCACGTGCACAAAATTATGATGTCAATGGAGACTGCTAAACTATTAATTTGTATTATGTTAACAAAATTGCATACAGAGTTTTAAATAAAGGCTACAGTTATTGTGTACTCTGTTCAATGTGGCTATGCTAATATAATACAGTACTGTACTGTATTTTTCCCCCTGTGATATAGCAAATTATATAAACTTAGTTTTAAATTTAATAGATTAAGATTTGTGGCAATGAAAACATGATGACCAGAAGGGTAAAGTGTTCAAGCATGATGAACGTCCTCCACCCACAACCATCACACTACCAAAAGTAAACTAATCCAAACACTTAATATTTGTCGTATAAATAATGCATTTCTAAAAATAGTTTGTTTGGGGTCTATGCATAATAGACAAAATATTAAACAAAATTAAATTATCCTAACAAAACAAAGCTATTTTAGGAAGAAATATAACATGACTGTATCATCCATCCATCAACACTGGATATCCTATCTGGCATCACTACTTTACCCGACGAGTAAAACTAATATTTTTTTTTGTTTCACACGGCAAATTGGCTATGACCATTTTAATTTTAATTAATGAAAATAGAAAGTACTGTAAATGGTGGAGATTTATGTTTGCTTAAGAAATATATAGTATATTATGGTATGCTGTAGTATTAAATATACGTGCTTGAAAAGTATAAATTAATCATTACAAGTTTAAGTCTTCTGTAAGTCTAGCAGTTTTCTTCAGAAGGTTGAAGTGTGGTACTCTGATGTGCAGGTTTGTGTGTGTGAGGGGGAGAGGGGGGGGGGGGGGGAAGAGACTGTGCAGGTTAAGTCGACACTTCTGCGTTGGCTATGTTAATAGACCATAAAATTATTACCTTGGGAATGTTGATATCAAAAACAAATTTGAAATATTGTATAGTAATATTAAATGAAGTTATTTTCTATTTATACAATATTTGAAGTATTATAGTACTATGTCATTAACTCTTAAACTGCTATCATTCTCACGTGATAAACTGATGCTCCTCTTGTCATTTGTGAACAATTTAATGTGCTATTTAATTGTCAAAGTCCCTAAATAGTCTATGTGGTTGTCATTCAACACTAGAGACCTCAGGCAATCATTTGCCATATTGGGAAGAAATCCTGAAAGTCTTCGTTGCCTTCCTAGACATTATTAAAAAAATGTCACCCTGTCAGGTGCATCACCATCCACTTGCTGACGCTCGTGCTTGGAACCATTGACACTAATCAAAATTTCAAGGCCTTATGAACCACAAAAATATTTGTGATAAGGAGAAATCTACTACAAATATTTTACTTCAGAATTTGACATTTTCATCATTTCACCTCAATATGGCCAATGTAAAATTATTACTTTCCCTCCCACTTCATCAGAAATTTGTTTTAAGATATAAAAAGAGAATTTTTAGATTTTTGTATGCACACACTGGGAAAGGAACAAAAAACGGATACACAATTTGAGGGTTAAGTTTAATATATGAAAATCAGTACCAATTTTATTGCAGTAATTAAGCATATTAATGATGGCTATGTTTTGGTATTATTAAAATTACTACAATAGTACTTAGCTGTTCATATAATTATTATTTTGCATAACTGAAATTACTTTGATATTGTCAAGATCACTACTGTATATTAATGTTCTCAAGGTGATTACTTTTGTGTTCTTAAAATGAACACACACAGGTGGATATATGAAAATGTTTGAATATTCCAGTCAAGTTCCAAGACAAATATTCTTAAGCATACTGTATGTACTCAATTCTGATAACTGCTATTAGGCAAGAGATTAAATGAATAGCAGAGCTGTATTGAATATTGAGCAAGGCAATTATGAGGAGAAAGAACCAAGTCAGTATATCTACATAGCACTTGGAAGGGATAAAAAGATCAAGAATCATGATATGAGGAATAACAGTGCCCAACCACTTGGACCACTGAAGGCTCAAATGCCGACCCGCGCTAAGAGAGGCCGTCACTGCATTAACCAGTCCTAGTGGATGGACAATTAATGTGCAAGACAAAGTGGGAGGCATAATTTATACTTTGAAGCACCCATGAAGTACTTCAATGTTGGACCAACGTTATTTGACGTTGATTCAACGTCATGTGCCTGCTGGGCAGGTGACACGGTAAAGCACAATAATTTTCAGCCTTTGCCAGGTTGGGATTGCTCGTGTTCCTGTCTAAACATACCGCCTTTGGCCCTGTGCATCCGGGGGAACCCTGAACAATATCAGAGCATCCTAATCTGGCCATGTTCACAAACTTCTCAACTCATAAGCCTCCTCTGCCTAATCTTATCCAGTGACAAAGCTTTGATAATCCTCTTCCTTAAATTTGTCATCATATATTTTTACTTATTCCTAGCTGTTTTAGAAACTACTGTATCACTTTAATTAATCTTAGTCACTGCCCCAAATGCATAAATTATCAATGTTTTTCAGCCAATAATTTTAATTAACAAATGTCCTCTTTTATTGAATACTACAGTAGTACAGAGAGTCCTCACTATACGTCACTACATTATACATTGATGGTAAATTAAGGACTTGTCTTTCTCCATTAAAACTAGCAAAACCATATAAAGGAAAATGCCTGGGAACATGATAGTTATTTAAATAGAAAGTATTAATATAGATGTAAAATTACTGAACAATTTTTAAAGCCTTTTGCAGCTGGAAAATTGATGGTTTACTATATGTTGTTGCACTTAGTCCTAACTTTCAGGAATGTATCCCTGACGTATAGCGAAGATTTAAAGTACCTGCCAGTTATGCAGAGTATTTGACAACAATATAGGGCTCATTTTGTCCTGCACTGTTACGGTTAACACAATACACCAAGAAATTTTTGACTGGTTAAAGATACTGGTAAATAAAATGTTACATGACAATTTGGATTTTAATTTTGGATCTTTTAGATTTTTTTAAGTGTAAAATCTTATTATAATTCACCATTTCAGGGGACAGGAAGCCAGAGTGTATTCATATATGTAAAGCTTTTATCGAGATCCCCCCCCCCTCTCCCAGGGTCGAATTACTGACCCGCCCAGGATTCAACCCCACAACAAGCTGACTAACTCCTGAGTACCTACTCACTGCTAGGTGAACAGCAGTATCAATTTGGTAACGTTTTGTCTGTTCGTTGCTAAAACGGCAGCTTTCCAAATATCACGAACAAAATTGTCAATCTCTTCAATAATTTAAAATGTTATCTTATTTAACTAGTGTATTACTCTATTTTTACGTTATGAATCTTGTGTATTGTACTTACAGGAAGAGTGGAGAAATACAGGCATGTGGAGAGAGACGACATCCAGGGGGCGCCCACCCTCAAGGGGGGGGGGGTGAGGCAGCCTCATCCTCGGGGGGGGGGGGGGGGGGGCAGCCTCATCCTCAGTGACGCCCAGCCACAGGGGGCGGGGCAGCCTCATCCCCAGGGGCGCCCAGCCACAGGGGGAGGGCAGCCTCATCCCCAGGGGCGCCCAGCCACAGGGGGGGGGAGGGCAGCCTCATCCCCAGGGGCGCCCAGCCACAGGGGGGGGGGCAGCCTGATCCTCAGGGGCGCCCAGCCACAGGGGGGGGGCAGCCTGATCCTCAGGGGCGCCCAGCCACAGGGGGGGGGCAGCCTGATCCTCAGTGGCGCCCAGCCACAGGGGGGGGGGCAGCCTCATCCCCAGGGGCGCCCAGCCACAGGGGGGGGGCAGCCTCATCCCCAGGGGCGCCCAGCCACAGGGGGGGGGCAGCCTCATCCCCAGGGGCGCCCAGCCACAGGGGGGGGGGCAGCCTGATCCTCAGGGGCGCCCAGCCACAGGGGGGGGGGCAGCCTGATCCTCAGGGGCGCCCAGCCACGGGGGGGGGGGGGGCAGCCTGATCCTCAGTGGCGCCCAGCCACAGGGGGGGGGCAGCCTGATCCTCAGTGGCGCCCAGCCACAGGGGGGGGGGGCAGCCTCATCCCCAGGGGCGCCCAGCCACAGGGGGGGGGCAGCCTGATCCTCAGGGGCGCCCAGCCACAGGGGGGGGGGGCAGCCTGATCCTCAGGGGCGCCCAGCCACAGGGGGGGGGCAGCCTGATCCTCAGTGGCGCCCAGCCACAGGGGGGGGCAGCCTGATCCTCAGTGGCGCCCAGCCACAGGGGGGGGGGGAGCCTCATCCTCAGGGGCGCCCAGCCACAGGGGGGGGGGAGCCTCATCCTCAGGGGCGCCCAGCCACAGGGGGCGGGGCAGCCTCATCCTCAGGGGCACCCAGCCACAGGGGGGGGGGGGCAGCCTCATCCCCAGTGGCGCCCAGCCACAGGGGGGGGGGCAGCCTCATCCTCAGGGGCGCCCAGCCACAGGGGGGGCAGCCTCATCCTCAGGGACGCCCAGCCACAGGGGGGGGGGGCAGCCTCATCCCCAGTGGCGCCCAGCCACAGGGGGGGGGCAGCCTCATCCTCAGGGGCGCCCAGCCACAGGAGGGGGCAGCCTCATCCCCAGTGGCGCCCAGCCACAGGGGGGGCAGCCTCATCCTCAGGGTGGGGGGCAGCCTCATCCCCAGTGGCGCCCAGCCACAGGGGGGGGGGGGCAGCCTCATCCTCAGGGGCGCCCAGCCACAGGGGGGGGGCAGCCTCATCCTCAGGGGCGCCCAGCCACAGGGGGGGGCAGCCTCATCCCCAGTGGCGCCCAGCCACAGGGGGGGGGCAGCCTCATCCTCAGGGGCGCCCAGCCACAGGGGGGAAGGGCAGCCTCATCCTCAGGGGCGCGCAGCCTCAAGGGGGGGGGGCAGCCTCATCCTCAGGGGCGCCCAGCCACAGGAGGACACAGAGCACTTAAACCAGGCCGCAGGAGCGACGTGCTACAGGGACCACGGCGCGCGACCAACTGACCCAGCCCCGGCAGCGGGGCAGTAAAGTACCCGGGAGTTAGGCTACTGCTGAGGGTGTCGTTGTGGTGGTCACTCGTTAACTAAGGGCGAACTGTCTTAGGTATAACTCCGAACCTTTTGGTGTTAAGATGGCATTAACCTCCAGATTCAATAGTTTTGAATAGAAAAATATATGTTGTTGTTGTTGATATAGGGGGGAGACGACGAGCCAGGGGTTGGACGCTCTCCTAAGCATATATTACTGTTGTTTTCTAAAACTTTCACAACTCGATATAAAATAATATGAAACGTTTTATGTACGTTTAAGAACATAACCACTCTGCTGAAGGCCAATTGACTCATACGTAGCAGTTTATGTTTATATCTACCCAAACTTATTCATATGAACGTCTAACCTACGATTGAAACATTCAAGGGATCCTGCGTCTATTATGTTACCCCGGTAATTTGTTCCACAAATCGACAACCTTGTTAACAAACCAGTATTTACCCAGGTCTTTCCTAAATCTAGATGTATCCAATTGTGTTGATATATTTAATATTCATATTTCCTTTGTTATGCCCATTCATCCACTAGTGCACTTTAATTGTCACCCTTAACTCTACGCCTTTCTAGAGAATGTAAATTAAGCTCTTTTAATCTCTCTTCATATGGAAGGTTTCTCATTTGTGGGATTAACTTTGTCATTCTTCACTGAACGCGTTCTGACGAATTTATCGACCAAAACTGAACTGCATAATCTAAATGGGGCCTAAAAAGAGTAAGACAGAGCTGAGATTTTTTTTCACAATCTGATCGCAATTTCGATATTATTTAGATGATAACTTGTAACGCTACCATCATTGCCTAGCCTCAGAACCTTACAGTTGTCAGCATTAAACAGCATCTGCCAATGTTTCGACCATTTCAAAAGCCTATCTATATATCGCCTTGAAGTGATTATGAGTATTCTGAGTTTATTTCCGGACAATTTTCATAGCCTCAGCAAATTTTCAAATATTGCTTCTCAATCTAAATCATTTATATATATGTGTATTTCTTTAGCATTCATTACCCAAAAAATGTATATTTTTGACCTCATTTGGGATAATTTACTAGTTTCCCAGCCTATAGACCCTAACAAAATGCTTCCTATCTCAGACAATGGCAGTCCAAATCATAAATCTGAACTAACTAAATTTTTGGGCAGCCTCGTTTATAACTGCTCCAGTACAAGATACTAAATAATTGATGTATATTCGCCTTGTCTGGGCTAAAGTTAACTCTCAGTGTTGTTGTTAACTGAGTGTATACGAGTATACACAGAGAAGCCGCATACATCTCTGTATATGATCTCTGTATATGGCAGGTAGCGACGTGAAGGTTTTCTCCCATGATGACCGCACGAGGAGTGATGTTGAGAGACGCAGCGTCCAAGGTGTCTGGGTCAGACTTGAATGTTGTGTGAGAGAGTTAGACTTGGTGCAGCTGGTGAGACGTTCTTATTAAGTCTTATGGATAAAGAATACACCAAATTATATATTTGCAGAATTAATTATTGGCAACTCGTATATGTTTACAAATTCACAAATGGGCTTACACTATCTACCTTATTATGGCAGAGCATGGCACTGTTTTACATATATATATATATATATATATATATATATATATATATATATATATATATATATATATATATATATATATATATATATATATATATATATATATATATATATATATATAAATATATTATATATATATATATTTTATATATATAAAGTTTATATAACCGGGTTTTATGGTATAGGTCATGGAGAGTGGAGGTTATTGGGTACATTCACTATAATTTCAAATTTGATATCTTCTTAATTGTGGCATCCCTTGAGTGCATGTTCTGAATTAAGGTAATTTTGATGATCAATGGAAACATTTGTATAAAATATAATTATAATAATTATAATCCAATAATTAGGGGCAGGTGCATATATCATTGTATGTTACATATATAATTCAGACAGGTGGATATTTTTGCTTCAAGTTCATACATTTTACACATTTGTTGTATCATTTTTTTTTAGTTATAGGTCCAAATGAGAGAGATATATTGACCGAAAAGTGTATACCCAATTTCTTTGCGTATGGCCCCGTATTATTCTAAGGTATTCTTTGTGGCTGGTTAGTAAGGTCTTGTGAGGGCCTTACACACTCACAACCACACTTAGGCTCACAAGGGGCTCACAAAGAGAACCACTTTGTGGTACGAAACTTGACTTCACTCTCACCACCAAGATAAAAGTCATCCTGTGGGCGTCATTATATATACAACACTTGCTGCAGACCGACTCACAGAGGTGGCACGAGGCGCCCTCAGGTGAGTCACAGGTGGGAGGAGGCGCTCTCAGGTGAGTCATAGAGATGGCAGAAGACGCCCTCAGGAGAGGTGGCAGAAGGCGCCCTCAGGTGACAGCGTGACTAAACTGGAGCAGCATCAACAAAGGCACCGCGGGCCCCACACACCACCCTTCACCTGCAACAGTTCGTGGAGGTGAAGCTACACCCGCAGGAACAACCCACCACCACCAACCACACACAAGCAAAACTTTACTTTTGTAGTCTTTGTATACGTTGTAACGCAGTGACTGACCTGCCGTGGAGGCGCCCTCAGGCGGAGGACTACCCACGTAGCTGGAGTCCGTGACGGTGACCTCGGAGGACTTCCTGTACACAGTGAGGATGGAAGCTGTGCACCGGAGGACCAGGACGCCGCCCTGCTGGAAGTGCTCACGCCGTAGCCACATGTGGAGACCAGACCAGGAGGCCTCGCGCCCCTGGCCGTCAGGGACCCCAGGGTACACCACCACCGTCTCTCTCGACGCCTGCAGGGATGAACGACTCTCACATATAAGTTGTTGGATGTTTTACAGTCAGCTACTCGGAACACAAAGTTGCGAGTAGCACGGGCTATGGCGACCCCGTAGTGGACTTACCTGGCACAGTGTAACACTGTAAAAGTGTTTGGGTTAGTTTATTTAAAATATATATAGAGTACACGAGTCACAGACAAGGATCTGAGAGGCGCCAGTTGTCTGCCTGAGATCTCACACCTCTAACCGTTAATGACCCCAAGTGACCTGAGGTCAGATCATGATAATTTCACCTTGCTTCCGCTAAGCGTATAATTGGAGCCGGGTAGCCTTCAAACAAGCCGACGTTTAAGGAGTGGCTTGGTAGTGCCGGAGGCTATCTATTTGTGGGCGGAGTTAGCTACTAGGTTCCCCAATAAATACTCGGAGAACTATCGAGCATCAAGCATTAATCAAGAGAACAGCAGACGAGCAGAGCAGGGAGGCTGTCGGCCGGCAGGGCGGGAGTCTCTGTCAACTACAGACCCCCCCCCCCCCCTCTCTATTCAACTTAGACTCAGTCCTCGGTGAGTGAACATTTAGGTGACTTGGTCGTGTTTACATATGTTGTGTGATGATCAGGGGCAGTCAAGTTGTAGGGTTCTCGAATTCTTGGATGATGACTCACTTTGCATATTAAACTGGAACATTTTAATTTAATTGCTAAATTATGATACTTCATGGGAAATATAATTATGAATTTATTATTTAAATTGTGTTTAACTTTGTTCCCTAGAGATTTGAGTTGAGGTGAGAAAGCCTCTGTGGTTACTGGTTTCATGGTTTAGAATGAGTACATGATAAAGATGGGAACTACTAATAATGATCTCATGATAACATCTTTGGTGAATATTGTGATACAGACAAGTTCCATTCCTTGTCTTGTATGTAATGATCATGAATGGATGGTGGCAGCATTTCGTCTTCTACTATCTACTCTTTTACTTCTACCTATCTACTCTTCTCCTTCTACCTATCTACACCTCTCCCTCCACCCCTCTCTAAACTCTCACTTTCAACTAATGACCCTCCTCGCTCCTCCCACCTCCCTACCTCTCACCCCAAACCCTCACTAATTACTTCACTATTCATTTCTTTCCTCTCGTTTTCTCTTATACGTTTGTGGCAATGATTCTGTATTCTAGAGTTCTCTCTAGAGTTTCGGGTAGCCGATCCAGTTACGGCGCCTTGTAGTCTTAGCACCTAGGTAGTCAAATACCTAGGTTTACAAGGTGTTGAAACGAGAGAGGCTGCCTTAGGAACTCTGGAGGGTGCTCTAGAATAGTTAGCTAACTGGGGACGGGATAACGGACTAGAGAGAGCTGTTTCCCCCGGCCTCGTTAGTTAACTGGGGGGTGGAATAATGGACAAGATAGAGCTATTTTCCCCCACCCCCCGTTACAACAGGAGCGGGGCTATAACCAGCACATATAAGTACCATTGTGGTGTAAATATTCACCAAGCGAGGTACCGTTGTATATATATATTATTGGTGAGTGTTGCTGCGAGAGGCGGCTAGTTTATTGTGCACCCTATACTCATCCTGTGAGCGGTAGCGCTAAAAGAATTACAGAGCGTTTACCTTTGTCCTGAGTTTACCTCTGTATTGTATACATAATACAATGTATACAACGCATAATACAACATACTGTGCGACCTTTGAAATCTTCGCTAAGTTAAAAAAGAAATTCGTAAGACGAAACGGTCTTTCCCCCCCTGGTCTGGGTCTGACGTATTCTTGGTGATCACTTAACAAGGACTTGAGTGGCCTTAACAACCCTCCTGAGGTTGTTAGACCTTAAGCCCAACACGGCACTATGATACCTGTAATACCCCGGGAAGAATACACATTAAGAGATGTATATGCAGCTTCTCGGGTCATACACACTACAGGTTTAGTATACATTATGTCCAGAACAAAACATTCCCTAGTTGGTCAGTATGCAGGTGACGTACACGTGTACACCTGCTGCACATGTGACTGAGTCTGCACATGTGTTCCAGCCCCACGCAGTACTTCATCCCTAAGCCCAAAAATAAGTTGATGTCACATTAATTCATCGTATTATACTACAACATAACGCCCACCAAGTGGGCAACACTTGACAACTAACGTGACATAGCTGCGTTAAGTAAAGTCTGCACCCAAAGGTGCTACATTGACTCACCTGGTGACCGTTGATGTGCCAGGTGAGAGAGGTTGGAGGGTAGGAAAAGGGACAGGTGCAGTTAAGGAGGAGGAGACGTCCAGCAGTGTAGGATCCCCGCAGCCCTGTGATGCTGGGACCCCGGACCGGCTTAGCTGTTGCAGGGGAAACAAAAAACGAGAATTACTCCAGCAGTAACTAAAGAACTTCTTGGCATAACATCTAAGTAAGAATAATTCAACCAGTAACTAAACTATTTACCATTCTCCTCCCAGTACACACACAACCGTCTCAGAAAAAAAACTGAGGCACGAATACTCAATTACGAACAGAATAAACATATATATCCCGCAAGTGCAGCGTGAGAGGCAGCTCACAGACTGAGAGCACAGTTGTCACTAATGGCCAGACTGACTGGGAAGACTGGACCTGACAGGAGAGGACGTGACAGGAAGACTGGGAGCTGGTAGCGTGACATGCATGAAGGGTGTTTGAAGGAGTACCTATGACGGTGATGTTCGCGTCCATGGTGTCCTGCTCGAAGCTTGGAGAGTCGCTCAGCACCTCACACCTCAGCGTCCCCGAGGCTCTGTGGTCGACGTGTGACAGTGTCACCTGGTACAGACTCGACACCCTGTCCTGGGGACACAGGTCACACGTTACACGCGCTGGATACACATTGCTACACACAACAGCTCACATAAACACACTGCCTTGCTGTACTGCGTACAAAAATAACGCTAATTAGCTCTCTCTCAGGTGTTGAATAATGACTCAATGTCAACCAAACGCACTCATCAGATACGTTAAAAGGTGAACATACTTCTAAACGTGTTGACCCATTACCAAGTCGACGTTATAAGGGTTCAAGTCGGGATGAAACATTATCTTTTATGAAGTCTGTGAGTGTGTTCCAAGTTGAAGTGTCTCAGCCCTGATGTTGACACACTTGTGTAGACACACTTCACTCAGGAGTACGTGAGGCGGACTACAGGTAGACGTCCTAAAGCTTGTTACTCATCTTAAGACTTAAGACATGCTAAAACTAGTTTCCAACATCTTGCAACTCTAGCCAGTAGTGTTAAGATCTGAGACATGAGTCAAACATCATCAAATTCAAGGCAGGTGTGTTAAGACTTGTATACATTCCAACCTCGGACCAAACGTCTTACAAAAAAAAATAATCAAAATTCTTAAAACTAGAGGAGACATGAGAGAGACATAAGAGATACTGAGACTCACATCAACAGTGATGCCAGGCAGGGGAAAGACCACAGAAGGCGGACTCCTCTTGGGGTTGAACTTGTAGAAGATCTGACTATCCTTCCACCAGGTGAGTGTGTAGAGTTGAGCACCGTCTAGCCTGAAGGAGCAGGAGAGTTGGATGCTCTCACCCGTCACCACCATCCGTGGCACCTTCATCCCCGTGATCTGCAGGCAGCATCCCGCCCCACCTGCAGGGAGATCAACTTCCTCCACATCTTCCTGCAACACTGCACAAGTCCCCGCACCCTCCACAACCTAATTAGTTGCATCACCTGTAAAAATATTGCCACGTGGACTTGTACCCACGTGGTCTTGAAGCATGTTTGGTGCAACAGCCTGGTTGACCAGTCCGCCAACGAGGAGGCCTGGTCGAGGACCGGGCCGCGGGGACGCTAAGCCCCGAAACCATCTCAAGATAAGGTTTCCAACCTCTGGAGAGTTATTAAAGTCGCCACAAAGGTTTACTGAGCAGGTTGCAAGTTTACTGTAGTGGTGAACACAGTTGAGGACTATACCGTAAACTGTGAGTGTATATACACACGGAGGAGGCAGCTATACACCTGCCACAGTACACACCGCCTCTCAATTATGGGTGGGTGTGGGCGTGGTTAGCGGGAGTGGTTGGGCACGCCCGCCACAAAGGGCAGACTGCTCTATTACCTTCATCAGACTCGCCACCTTCCTCCCTCTGTTTGAACTGGTAATTGTCCTCCTGTTGCCTCTGTGTTCACCCAGTTGTGTTCTGTGTTCACCCAGCTGTGTTATGTGTTCACCCAGTTGTGTTCTGTGTTCACCCAGCTGTGTTATGTGTTCACCCAGTTGTGTTCTGTGTTCACCCAGCTGTGTTATGTGTTCACCCAGTTGTGTTCTGTGTTCACCCAGCTGTGTTATGTGTGTTCACACAGTTGTGTTCTGTGTGTTCACACAGTTGTGTTCTGTGTGTTCACACAGTTGTGTTCTGTGTTCACCCAGCTGTGTTATGTGTGTTCACACAGTTGTGTTATGTGTTCACCCAGTTGTGTTCTGTGTTCACCCAGCTGTGTTATGTGTTCACCCAGTTGTGTTATGTGTTCACCCAGCTGTGTTATGTGTGTTCACACAGTTGTGTTCTGTGTGTTCACACAGTTGTGTTCTGTGTGTTCACACAGTTGTGTTCTGTGTGTTCACACAGTTGTGTTCTGTGTGTTCACACAGTTGTGTTCTGTGTTCACCCAGTTGTGTTCTGTGTTCACCCAGTTGTGTTCTGTGTTCACCCAGTTGTGTTCTGTGTTCACCCAGTTGTGTTCTGTGTTCACCCAGTTGTGTTCTGTGTTCACCCAGTTGTGTTCTGTGTTCACCCAGCTGTGTTCTGTGTGTTCACCCAGTTGTGCTGTGTGTTCACCCAGTTGTGTTCTGTGTTCACCCAGTTGTGTTCTGTGTGTTCACCCAGTTGTGCTGTGTGTTCACCCAGTTGTGTTCTGTGTTCACCCAGTTGTGTTCTGTGTTCACCCAGTTGTGCTGTGTGTTCACCCAGTTGTGCTGTGTGTTCACCCAGTTGTGTTCTGTGTGTTCACCCAGTTGTGCTGTGTGTTCACCCAGTTGTGTTCTGTGTTCACCCAGTTGTGTTCTGTGTTCACCCAGTTGTGTTCTGTGTGTTCACCCAGTTGTGCTGTGTGTTCACCCAGTTGTGTTCTGTGTTCACCTATTAGCTCTTGAACCCCGTTTTTCTAGCCGTCAGGTGTCTAATATACTGACTCCGGACATATTTTGTCTGCCATATGTGCTATATATTTCTCTAACACACACATACACATCGCCAGGATACAGCCCACAACAGCTATCTATTTACTTCTAGGTGAACAGACGCATCACGTGAAAGAAAACCCTGCCCATTTGTTTGTGTGCTCACTTAATTGTTCTCACCTAATTGGGCTCGCAGGAGTCTAGCTTCGCTCTTTGGTCCCGCCTCTCAACCGTCAATCAACAGGTGTACAGGTTCCTGAGCCTACTGGGCTCTATCATATCTACACTTGAAGCTGTGTATGGAGTCAGCCTCCACCACATCACTGCCTAATACATTCCATTTACTAACTACTCTGACAGGGGCCTGACAACTGAGTGGACAGGGCTCAGGATTCGCAGTCCTGAGGTTCCGGGTTCGATCCCCGGTGGAGGCGGAAACAAATGGGCAGAGTTTCTTTCACCCTGATGCGCTTGTTCACCTAGCAGTAAATAGGTACCTGGGAGTTAGACAGCTGCTACGGGCTGCTTCCTGGGGAGTGTGTAACAAAAAGGAGGCCTGGTCGAGGGCCGGGCCGCGGGGACGCTAAGCCCCGAAATCATCTCAAGATATCCTCAAGATAACACAGACAAAGTTGTTTTCTAATGTCTCTATGGTTCATCTGGGTACTCGGTGTCCCCCTGTGTCCCCGTGTGCGCGTACCACCCGTGTTAAATAGTCTGCCTTTATCTACCCTGTCAATTTTCCTGAGAATCTTGTATGTGGTGATCATTTCTTCTCGAACTCTTCTGTCTTCCAGCGACCTGAGGTACAATTCGCACAACCTTTCCTCGTAGTTCATGCCTCTTGGCTCTTCTACTAGTCTAATAGTAGAAGAGCCAAGAAAATATGGAGAAGGTGGAGACACCTTCTCCAGCTTCGTCTTGTGTTTGGCAAGGTACGGGCTCCAGGCTGGGGCTGCATACTCCAGGACTGGTCTTACATATGTGGTATACAAGGTACTAAAGGACTCCTTACACAAGTTTCTAAAGGCAGTTCTGATGTTAGCCAGCCTCGTATACGCCGCTGATGACATTCTTTTGATGTGGGCTTCAGGAGACAGGTTTGGTGTGATATCAACTCCTAGATCTTTCTGTCGGTTTCGTGGAGGACTTCGTCTCCCATTTGGTATCCTGTGTCTGGCCTCCTGTTCTCTCCACCTAACTCCATTACCTTACATTTACTTGAATTGAACTCTAGTAGCCATTTGTTGGACCATTCCTTCAGTTTGTCCAGGTCATTTTGTAGCCTCTTGCTATTTTCGTAGGAATGATCCTCCTCATAATTATTTCATCATCACCAACCACTGGGAACGAGTCTATATCCTTTGTGAGATCGTTTACATATATCAGAAACAGAATAGGTTCAAGGACTGACCCCTGCGGGACTTCAGTGGTGATGTCTCGCCCCTCTGAGACCTCACATATCACAGTGACTCGCTGTCTTCTGTTGCTTAGGTACTCCTTTATCCAATGGAGTACCTTCCCTTTCACTCCAGCCTGCATCTCCAGCTTTTTCACTAGCCTCTTGTGTGGTACTGTATCAAAGGCTTTTTGGCAATCCAAAAATATGCACTCTGCCCACCCTTCTCTTTCTTGCTTGATTTTTGTTGCCTGGTCATTGAATTCAGTTAGTCCTGTGAGGCAAGATTTACCATCCCTGAACCCATGCTGATGCTGTGTTACAAAGTTCTTTCACTCCAGATGTTCTACTACTTTTTTTCGCATAATCTTCTCCATCAGCTTGCATGGTATGCAGGTTAGGGACACTGGCCTGTAGTTCAGTGCCTCCTGTCTCTCACCCTTTTTGTATATCGGGACTACATTAGCCGTCTTCCAAATTTTTGGCAGTTCACCTGTGACCATTGATGTTATGCACCATTGAAAGTGGAAGGCACAGTGCTTCTGTTCCTTCTTTTAGTAGCCATGATGAGATTCCGTCCTGGACTTTGTCGTATCCAACTCAAACAAATACTTCCTTATCTCTCCACTGGTTATCTTAAACTCCTCTAGTGGTGCTTAGTTAGATAGTCCCTCTCTTATCTCTGAAACGTCTTGCTCTAATGTGAAGACCTCCTGGAATTTCTGTTTGAGTTTCTCGCACACTTCCTTGTCATTTGCAGTGTATTCACCTAGTTGTATTCATCTAGTTGTGCTTGTGGGGGTTGAGCTCTGATTTTTCGGCCCGCCTCTCAACTGTCAATCAACTGTTACTAACTTTTTTCCACACCACACACACACACACACAGACACACACACATCCCAGGAAGAAGCCCGTGACAGCTGACTAACTCCCAGGTACCTATTTACTGCTAGGTAACAGGGGCATTAAGGTAAAAGAAACTCTGCCCATTGTTTCTCGCCGGCGCCGGGAATCGAACCCGGGACCACAGGATCACGCGTCCAGCATGCTGTCCAGTCAGCCACTGGCCCCTGTAATTAACACATTGCACACACCCACACACAGTGTAAAAAAGCAGTAGTAGTAGAAACAGTTGATTGACAGTTGAGTGGCGGGCTAAAAGAGCAGAGCTCAACCCCCGCAAGCAAAACTAGGTGAATACACACACACACACACACACACACACACACACACACACACACACACACACACACACACACACACACACACACACACACACACACACACACACACACTGCATATGACAAGGAAGTGTGCGAGGAACTCAAACATAAATTCCAGGAGGTCTTCACATTAGAGCAAGAAGTTTCAGAGATAAGAGAGGAACAATCTAACTAGGCACCACTAGAGGAGTTTGAGATTACAAGTAGAGAGGTGTGTTTGTGTGTGCTTGCGTGCGTGCATGTGTGATCGTGTGTGTGTGTGTGTGTGTGTGTGTGTGTGATCGTGCATGTGTGTGTGTTTACTAGTTGTGTTTTTACGGGGGTTGAGCTTTGCTCTTTCGGCCCGCCTCTCAACTGTCAATCAACTGTTTACTACTTTTTTCTTTTTTTTTTCCACACCACACACACACACCCCAGGAAGCAACCCGTGACAGCTGACTAACTCCCAGGTACCTATTTACTGCTAGGTAACAGGGGCACTTAGGGTGAAAGAAACTTTTGCCCATTTGTTTCTGCCTCGTGAGGGAATCGAACCCGCACCACAGAATTACGAGTCCTGCGCGCTATCCACCAGGCTACGAGGCCCCCTACACACACACACACACACCTGTGTGTGTGTGTGTGATCGTGCGTGTGAGCGTGTATGTGTTGAGATATTATGTGTTAAAACAATTTTCGTTGTCAAAAACAGGATGCCTGTGTATATATATATATATATATTATATATATATATATATATATATATATATATATATATATATATATATATATATATATATTATATATATCCTATATCGAGGCCTCTCCAAGGTCAAACAGCTCACCTACCCCAGGTGCAACAGGTTCATCCCTGCAACAGTTGCCTACTCCCGGGCACCTAAGTTACTGCTAGGTGAACAGAGGCACTAGGTGAAAAGAAAAGTGCCCAACCATTTTTGCCCCACCCAGGAGTAGAACCCGGGGTCACCGATAATGTGTCGAGAACAAAGCCTTATACTGTACTATACTGTACTTATACTGAATCTTATACTGTACCATAACTGCTATATGAAATACACTGGTAATGTTCTTGTCTCCCAATGCCTCTGTTCACCTAGGAGTAAATAGGTACCTGGGAGTTAGGTGACTGTTGTGGGTTGCAGGCTTGGGTTGTTTGACCCTTGGTGCGGGGGGGGGGGGAAGGCCTCGATACAAGCCTAAATTATATATACATATACACAGAGGCTTCCTGTCCACCTGACAATGGGAATATTATAAGTTGATTAACCAGGTATTATTGCTATATTAACCTTGTAAATCTCAAAAGAATCTATGTCCTCTTGGGGCTCACCATAGTCAGTGCTGCTATAGTCCCGAGTTGCCCAATCTAAAATAACAACCTCAAAACAGCCATTATAACTTAATTTGCATAACTTGCTTCAACACGTAATGCCTAATATACAACCTAACTTATAGGCAATAATAGGGGGTAAACTAGCCTAACAGGACTAGAAGTTTAGGTAAGTTAAATGAGGCACTCACAAGCGAGCAAGAGGAGAGCCAGAGACAGCCAACTAGCGCAGTTACCCATTGATCGTCCGCCGCGGCCGCCGTTCTCTCTCTCAACCCTCCGGCTCCACGGCTCTAAGCTCGCATCTGCAAGGGAAAAAGGGCCTATAAAATTCAAATTCATTTTTTTTATTTAGGAAAAGTACATACATAAATGATTTACAAACATAATGATGGATTTATAGATACAGCTAGTACATACAATACCTAAAACCACTAATTTTCTCTCCATACTGCTACATTTTCTTTCAACGAGGTTTGTGGACATGAAACTTTATTAAGCGACCAAAACACGTTATACTTTCACTAAGTGACGCCAACAATAATAATAAAATTATTATTATTATTATTTGTATTATTAACAAAATGTGTTTATGGGATATACAAAGGATCAGCTTACACTTTAACTTAATGGGCGCAGTATTTTGTATAATTGATATCCAGCTTATTTCCCCATGGAGGTGAAGGTTGCCGGTATGAGACCCGAGTCCGAGTGCTGAAAATGAATCTTGGAAAATATGGACTTTTTTTCTTCCTCTTCATTCAGTAGGGTCATTAGGGCTTCCAAAATATGAGTTATTGAGGCCATTAAGGATTGGATAGAAGGAAATCGTTGCCGGAATGTTCCGATTACGTGATTCGGTTATTGGCGAATCAATTACTCCGGATCAGCTTATGTTGCTTGAATATAAATGATTGTGATTATGTGAGCAGTGTGTGTGTTGCTTGGTGGGGTCAGTTACCCGGTGGGCGGTCAGTAGAGCTGAGGTGTAAGCTGCCTTCCTGACACCCCCCCCCCCCCCGCGTCTCTGTGTGTATGTGTAACTGTCCTCAGGGAGGAAATATGCTCACGGGAATGGACTGAGAACGATTACATAATTCGTCCTATGTCTACTCTCTATCCGTGGTTAGGTTACGTTAAGGTTTGATTAGGTTAGGTTAGGTTTCATTACATTTGATTACGTTAATATGGTGTATTATTGACGATAATGTAAAATATGGAATTCCAAAACTATTTCAGTGTACCACAGAATTCCGTTTACAGAAAACCCAATTCTTAACAGAAAACTTTTTCAGCATACCCTACTTATATTTTAAACCAACGATATATAATGCAATAAAGTTATAACTTGGGAATAATCTTTGTTTAGAACAAAGGTTCACGTCCCAATTTACATGTCGACTATTACTGGAACCGTAATATGCCTTCAGATCATCACAAATATCTTGATAATTATCCAGGTGGTTTGAAGGGATGTGGTTTCTGGTGGTAAGGGATGTGGTCTGAGGACGGCTCCTGTGTACACACACACACATTAATTTAGCTCCGCCATATTGGCTGTGTTCACAGGAGAAAAGACAAAATGCGGCAATTTGCGATAAGAAAGTGCCACTTTCCACACGTCTCCTTTATGACTATACGAGTCATTTCAGATAAGAATTACCCCCCTCCTGCAACAAATTAAGATTCAAGATGGCGACCATTTAAAAAAAAAATGGCGGGTTAAATCTTGAAAATTGCGTATATAGGCATTTGAGGTGTCGTTTCATATGCTTTTTGGCCAGCAAATTAAATCAAACAACGTGCCGAAGCCTGGATACATAGCTTTGTTTCACAAACCAATCAGGTGTAAGCATTTTTACCGGCTTCTGGTTTAAGGTTGGTGATAGGCTCATTCTGATGACGTGAGTCGTGACGTCACTGAAGCGTCACCGATTTCCGTTGACCGTCAACGGGTGACTTGACACGATGACCTCACCGGTGCCTGAGGCAGTGACGTCACAGCTTCTAGCTCCTTAGGGCGGCCGCCCTTCCTGAAGTTTGACAACTCTCAATGTTTTGGTATGTGTCTGGCCAGTCTCTCGGTGGTACATATACACAGGCCACTATGTGGTAACACTGATACCAGACTTGCTCTATTATCACGGCCTCCTGGTGTTTGCTCTTTGGAATGCATTTTGTGAGGTCAACAGCCACGTTGTGTGTGTGTGTGTGTGTGTGTGTGTGTGTGTGTGTGTGTGTGTGTGTGTGTGTGTGTGTGTGTGTGTGTGTGTGTGTATGTGTGTTTATATGTGTATATTATATCTACCAAGTAGTTACAATGATCTACCTGGTAGTGCTTCTACCCCCCCCCCCCTCTTGACACCCCCACTATGGGAAACACCCCCCCCCCACCACCTAACAAAACCCACCTCATAGTAACAGTCTGATGAACCAAACAGTCACCCCCCCCCCCTCACCTCCTTCTATAGTACTGGACGGTAAGTCCCGTTAACGACCGCAATTGGAGATGTAACGACATGAGTTCCTGAAATTTCAGAAGGTAGCGGAGACAACTACTGCCTGTGGCACCCTGACAGCGGCACTGTATGGCAGTTAGTGCCATAAGGGGGAGGGGGGAGGGGGGGAGGGGCTGATGGTAGGCCTACAGACTCGATATTTTACACGCCAAAATTCGTATTTTTTTTTTTTCGTGGAGATGATTTAGAAAGTTTTCAGAGAGGGAAAATAAATATATTTTCAGTGGGTAGATTAAACAGTTTCCAAGACTTTGGGAAAGTTACCCACTTGAACTTTCCTTCATCTCCTCAATTGAGTTGAACACTTGCTCGTGTTGAGCTCCAGTAGCCATTTCTCTGACCATCTCTGCAACCTGTTCAAGTCATCTGGAAGGATCCTACAATCCTCATCTGTCACAACTCGTCTCATTAATTTCGCGTCATCCGCGAACATCGACATGTAGGACTCTACTCCTTTAGACAAGTCGTTCACGTATATGAGAAATACAACTTGTTCCAGTACCGATCCTTGAGGTACTCCACTCGTTACTGTTCGCCAGAGTGTGTGTAATCACCTATTTGATGAGTACACACAACTGGCGAATAGTAACGAGTGGATCAACTCCGGTGTGTGTGTGTGTGTGTGTGTGAGTGTGTGTGGGGGGGGGGGCGTCTGTTGAACACACACAAGTGTGTGTTCAACTGTTACTAACTACTAACTAATTTTTTTCACACACACGCCCCAGGAAGCAGCCCATAGCAGCTGTCTAACTCCCAGGTACCTATTTACTGCTAGGTAACAGGGGCATCAGGGTGAAAGAAACTCTTTCACTAACGTTCTTTCTCCTTCTCTAACTTGTACCACCACTCTCACTCCCTCACTCACTCACTCACTCACCCACCCACCCACCCACTCACTCACTCACTCACTCACTCACCCACCCACCCACCCACCCACTCACTCACTCACTCACTCACTCACTCACTCACTCACTCACTCACCCACTCACTCACTCACTCACTCACTCTCCCCAGCCCTCAGAGAAGCCTGACCTGCTCACCTCCCACAATTACTTTATGAAATTATAGGCAAAGTGAGACACCTAATTTGTGGAACATCTTAACGACCCTCAGACAGCCAGTAGTGTATGAGTGTATGATCCTGTATGGTCTAGTGGTTAGTGTGTGTGTATGGTCTAGTGGTTAGTGTGTGTGTATGGTCTAGTGGTTAGTGTGTGTGTATGGTCTAGTGGTTAGTGTGTGTGCATTGTCTAGTGGTTAGTGACTGTGGGAGAGTGTATAGTCTAGTGGTTAGTGACTGTGTATGGTCTAGTGGTTAGTGACTGTGTATGGTCTAGTGGTTAGTGTGTGTGTATGGTCTAGTGGTTAGTGTGTGTGCATTGTCTAGTGGTTAGTGTGTGTGTATGGTCTAGTGGTTAGTGTGTGTGTATGGTCTAGTGGTTAGTGTGTGTGCATTGTCTAGTGGTTAGTGTGTGTGTATGGTCTAGTGGTTAGTGTGTGTATGGTCTAGTGGTTAGTGTGTGTGCATTGTCTAGTGGTTAGTGACTGTGGGAGAGTGTATAGTCTAGTGGTTAGTGACTGTGTATGGTCTAGTGGTTAGTGACTGTGTATGGTCTAGTGGTTAGTGACTGTGTATGGTCTAGTGGTTAGTGTGTGTATATGGTCTAGTGGTTAGTGTGTGTGTATGGTCTAGTGGTTAGTGTGTGTGTGTGGTTAGTGTGTGTGTATGGTCTAGTGGTTAGTGTGTGTGTATGGTCTAGTGGTTAGTGTGTGTGTATGGTCTAGTGGTTAGTGTGTGTGTATGGTCTAGTGGTTAGTGTGTGTGCATTGTCTAGTGGTTAGTGACTGTGGGAGAGTGTATAGTCTAGTGGTTAGTGACTGTGTATGGTCTAGTGGTTAGTGACTGTGTATGGTCTAGTGGTTAGTATGTGTGTATGGTCTAGTGGTTAGTGTGTGTGTATGGTCTAGTGGTTAGTGTGTGTGGGAGTGTGTATAGTCTAGTGGTTAGTGTGTGTGTATGGTCTAGTGGTTGGTGTGTGTGTATGGTCTAGTGGTTAGTGTGTGTGTATGGTCTAGTGGTTAGTGACTGTGATGGAGTGTATGGTCTAGTGTTTAGTGTGTGTGGGAGTGTGTATGGTCTAGTGGTTAGTGTGTGTGGGAGTGTGTATAGTCTAGTGGTTAGTGACTGTGATGGAGTGTATGGTCTAGTGTTTAGTGTGTGTGGGAGTGTGTATGATCTAGTGGTTAGTGTGTGTGGGAGTGTGTATGGTCTAGTGGTTAGTGTGTGTGGGAGAGTGTATGGTCTAGTGGTTAGTGACTGTGTGGGAGAGTGTATGGTCTAGTGGTTAGTGACTGTGTGGGAGAGTGTATGGTCTAGTGGTTAGTGACTGTGGGAGTGTGTATGGTCTAGTGGTTAGTGACTGTGGGAGTGTGTATGGTCTAGTGGTTAGTGACTGTGTGGGAGAGTGTATGGTCTAGTGGTTAGTGACTGTGGGAGAGTGTATGGTCTAGTGGTTAGTGACTGTGTGGGAGAGTGTATGGTCTAGTGGTTAGTGACTGTGTGGGAGAGTGTATGGTCTAGTGGTTAGTGACTGTGGGAGTGTGTATGGTCTAGTGGTTAGTGACTGTGTGGGAGAGTGTATGGTCTAGTGGTTAGTGACTGTGGGAGAGTGTATGGTCTAGTGGTTAGTGACTGTGGGAGAGTGTATGGTCTAGTGGTTAGTGACTGTGTGGGAGAGTGTATGGTCTAGTGGTTAGTGACTGTGTGGGAGAGTGTATGGTCTAGTGGTTAGTGACTGTGGGAGAGTGTATGGTCTAGTGGTTAGTGACTGTGTGAGTGTGTATGGTCTAGTGGTTAGTGACTGTGTGGGAGTGTGTATGGTCTAGTGGTTAGTGACTGTGGGAGTGTGTATGGTCTAGTGGTTAGTGACTGTGGGAGTGTGTATGGTCTAGTGGTTAGTGACTGTGTGGGAGAGTGTATGGTCTAGTGGTTAAAGTGACCGTGGGAGTGTGTATGATCTAGTGGTTAAAGTGACCGTGGGAGAGTGTATGATATACTTAATATGTTAAGTAGTGTCCCACCATCGCCTCCATCACCAGTAATGTATACTTTAATTAATACTTAAGACGGAACACAGTGGTTAAGAGAGTATATCTTCTCCCCCCCCCCTGGTGTATAGTGTACTTGTCCCCTGGTGTATAGTGTACTTGTCCCCTGGTGTATAGTGTACTTGTCCCCAGGTGTATAGTGTACTTGTCCCACGGTGTACAGTGTACTTGTCCCCTGGTGTATAGTGTACTTGTCCCCTGGTGTATAGTATACTTGTCCCACGGTGTACAGTGTACTTGTCCCCTGGTGTATAGTGTACTTGTCCCCTGGAGTATAGTATACTTGTCCCCTGGTGTATAGTGTACTTGTCCCCTGGTGTATAGTGTACTTGTCCCCTGGAGTATAGTATACTTGTCCCCTGGTGTATAGTGTACTTGTCCCCTGGTGTATAGTGTACTTGTCCCCTGGTGTATAGTGTACTTGTCCCCTGGTGTATAGTGTACTTGTCCCACGGTGTATAGTGTACTTGTCCCCTGGTGTATAGTGTACTTGTCCCCTGGTGTATAGTGTACTTGTCCCCTGGTGTATAGTGTACTTGTCCCACGGTGTACAGTGTACTTGTCCCCAGGTGTATAGTGTACTTGTCCCCTGGTGTATAGTGTACTTGTCCCACGGTGTACAGTGTACTTGTCCCCTGGTGTATAGTGTACTTGTCCCACGGTGTACAGTGTACTTGTCCCCTGGTGTATAGTGTACTTGTCCCACGGTGTATAGTGTACTTGTCCCCTGGTGTATAGTGTACTTGTCCCCTGGTGTATAGTGTACTTGTCCCCTGGTGTATAGTGTACTTGTCCCACGGTGTACAGTGTACTTGTCCCCTGGTGTATAGTGTACTTGTCCCACGGTGTATAGTGTACTTGTCCCCTGGAGTATAGTATACTTGTCCCCTGGTGTATAGTGTACTTGTCCCCTGGTGTATAGTGTACTTGTCCCCTGGTGTATAGTGTATTTGTCCCCTGGTGTATAGTGTACTTGTCCCCCTGGTGTATAGTGTACTTGTCCCCTGGTGTACAGTGTACTTGTCCCCTGGTGTATAGTGTACTTGTCCCCTGGTGTATAGTATACTTGTCCCACGGTGTATAGTGTACTTGTCCCCTGGTGTATAGTGTACTTGTCCCACGGTGTATAGTGTACTTGTCCCCTGGTGTATAGTGTACTTGTCCCCTGGTGTATAGTGTACTTGTCCCACGGTGTATAGTGTACTTGTCCCACGGTGTATAGTGTACTTGTCCCCTGGTGTATAGTGTACTTGTCCCCTGGTGTATAGTGTACTTGTCCCCTGGTGTATAGTGTACTTGTCCCCTGGTGTATAGTGTACTTGTCCCCTGGTGTATAGTGTACTTGTCCCCTGGTGTATAGTGTACTTGTCCCCTGGTGTATAGTGTACTTGTCCCCTGGTGTATAGTGTACTTGTCCCCTGGTGTATAGTGTACTTGTCCCCTGGTGTATAGTGTACTTGTCCCCTGGTGTATAGTGTACTTGTCCCCTGGTGTATAGTGTACTTGTCCCCTGGTGCCGCTGGTGGACCCGGGAACTCCCGGAGGAGCCGGGTAATTAGGTGGTCGAGGCCCTGGTGATTAAGGGTACGGGTAATTAGGCACAATGATGATGGCTCTTGATGTTTACCGCCCGTCACTTAATTAGAAACCATTGGGCAAGTTTGTTCCCTCCTTATCCGCCCTCAGCACTCCTCCTGCTGCTGCTTGAGGGGGAGGGGGTCTGTGGGGGGGGGGGTCTGTGGGGCGGGGGTCTGTGGGACGGGGGTCTGTGGGGCGTGGGTCTGTGGGGCGGGGGTCTCTTGACCCTACATTTTTTGGATGTGTAGAACCCACACCTGTGGATTCCTTCATCCACACGCGGGACCACAGATGCAGTCCACAGCCACACGAGGGACCACAGATGCAGTCCACAGCCACACGAGGGACCACAGGTACAGTCTGCAGCCTTCCACAGCCACACGAGGGACCACAGATGCAGTCCACAGCCTCCCACAGCCACACGAAGGACCACAGATGCAGTCCACAGCCTCCCACAGCGACACGAAGGACCACAGATGCAGTCCACAGCCTCCCACAGCCACACGCGGGACCACAGATGCAGTCCACAGCCTCCCACAGCGACACGAGGGACCACAGATGCAGTCCACAGCCTCCCACAGCCAAACGCGGGACCACAGATGCAGTCCACAGCCTCCCACAGCCACACGCGGGACCACAGATGCAGTCCACAGCCTCCCACAGCCACACGCGGGACCACAGATGCAGTCCACAGCCTCCCACAGCGACACGAGGGACCACAGATGCAGTCCACAGCCTCCCACAGCCACACGCGGGACCACAGATGCAGTCCACAGCCTCCCACAGCCACACGCGGGACCACAGATGCAGTCCACAGCCTCCCACAGCGACACGAGGGACCACAGATGCAGTCCACAGCCTCCCACAGCCACACGCGGGACCACAGATGCAGTCCACAGCCTCCCACAGCCACACGAGGGACCACAGATGCAGTCCACAGCCTCCCACAGCCACACGCGGGACCACAGATGCAGTCCACAGCCTCCCACAGCGACACGAGGGACCACAGATGCAGTCCACAGCCTCCCACAGCGACACGAGGGACCACAGATGTAGTCCACAGCCTCCCACAGCCACACGAAGGACCACAGATGCAGTCCACAGCCACACGAGGGACCACAGATGCAGTCCACAGCCTCCCACAGCCACACGCGGGACCACAGATGCAGTCCACAGCCTCCCACAGCGACACGAGGGACCACAGATGCAGTCCACAGCCTCCCACAGCCACACGAGGGACCACAGATGCAGTCCACAGCCTCCCACAGCCACACGAGGGACCACAGATGCAGTCCACAGCCTCCCACAGCCACACGAGGGACCACAGATGCAGTCCACAGCCTCCCACAGCGACACGAGGGACCACAGATGCAGTCACAGCCTCCCATGCAGTCCACAGCCTCCCACAGCCACACGAGGGACCACAGATGCAGTCCACAGCCTCCCACAGCCACACGAGGGACCACAGATGCAGTCCACAGCCTCCCACAGCCACACGAGGGACCACAGATGCAGTCCACAGCCTCCCACAGCCACACGAGGGACCACAGATGCAGTCCACAGCCTCCCACAGCCACACGAGGGACCACAGATGCAGTCCACAGCCTCCCACAGCCACACGAGGGACCACAGATGCAGTCCACAGCCTCCCACAGCCACACGAGGGACCACAGATGCAGTCCACAGCCTCCCACAGCCACACGAGGGACCACAGATGCAGTCCACAGCCTCCCACAGCCACACGCGGGACCACAGATGCAGTCCACAGCCTTCCACAGCCACACGAGGGACCACAGATGCAGTCCACAGCCTCCCACAGCCACACGCGGGACCACAGATGCAGTCCACAGCCTTCCACAGCCACACGAGGGACCACAGATGCAGTCCACAGCCGGCATAAAAAGATAAACAGCATAAAGGCTTCACTCTCGCTGGTCAGACCCTACTCCCAGCCTGGTGCATTATACCGGCAAGAGGCGGTAGGCCATCTCCAGTGATGTGCATTAAGTCATAAAGAGATACTTCGCCATGATTTACCGCATCAAAGTCAGGTTTCGTGGTGAGACCAACTTCACTCGGCCCCAGATACTGTCGAAAGTATCTCGACAGTATCCACTGGTGGTGCGTTGGTGTATCTCGACAGTATCACTGGTGGTGCGTTGGTGTATCTCGACAGTATCCACTGGTGGTGCGTTGGTGTATCTCGACAGTATCACTGGTGGTGCGTTGGTGTATCTCGACAGTATCCACTGGTGGTGCGTTGGTGTATCTCGACAGTATCCACTGGTGGTGCGTTGGTGTATCTCGACAGTATCCACTGGTGGTGCGTTGGTGTATCTCGACAGTATCCACTGGTGGTGCGTTGGTGTATCTCGACAGTATCCACTGGTGGTGCGTTGGTGTATCTCGACAGTATCCACTGGTGGTGCGTTGGTGTATCTCGACATCACCAACGCAGCACCAGTGGGCATCCGCGCCGACGGCGTCGGTGTAGACCTCCTGTACTCAAGCGAGGAAGATGTGGAACAACTATTTGTTCCAGAACACCATGACGCCCTACGACACGCTGACCTGATCCTAGTGCCTACCTGACGCTACCTGGCTGATAGCACTCTGTGAGCCGCACCAGCGTCTACCTCGCCTCCCAGGACCCTCACACCATATTGTCAAGCATCAACACCACGAACTTGGCTCTAACTGCAGTCAAAGTTAAAAGCCCCAGTACCGGGAGCAAGCAACGACCTCCCCTGAAGGTGACCTTCTCTACAGCAGCGACCCAACCAGTGGACAACGGCGTAACATGCCTGGACACATCAGTCACACCGGACACCGTCAAGAAGGACCGCCACTACGTCCCACGTCACTGCTACAAGTGCTGTAAGTACGACCTCAACACCCTGAACTGTCAACTTCCCGAGGAAAGTGCAGCATCTACACGGAAAACCACCATTACAAGGACTGCCAGTCCACCACCCAACAGTGCCGCCTCAATTGTTGAGCAGCACACACTGCCGTCTCCTTGGACTGTCCCATAACAACTGAATAAATTAAGAAATCGGCATTCACCAACTACCAATCAGCCGGCGAGCTTCAACATCCAGGCCACGACACTCCCAGCTCTACCCATAGCCACTGCTACACCGACGTCCGCACCCGCACATCCCCCCACCACTACAGAGGGCCCAACGGACAGGCGACGGCAGCCCAGCCCACCACTACACCAACCAACCAATCAGCGGCCTCGGCCGCCACCACTCTGGTCCTTGTACTCATTAACCTTGTGGTGTAGCCGGCAGGGACAGAGCCACAATGTACATCACTGTACTCAACAGACTGCTGGAGACAAGCGGACTACCCAGGTAAGTCCCAGCGGCTGTACTGCAGACTACACAAGCTGCTTCAAGTGAACCAGTCCGTCCACAACTACACCAGGACCAGCAGCGTCAAGACTACCGACACCCCCGGCGGCGGCACTGACAACAGTGCCAGCAACACCAACCATCAAGGCACCAGCTACCACACGGACCCAAGCCACCACACACCCGACAGTCAACCAACCAATGACTACCTCAACCCCCTCCACCGACACAAAGACAAACCAAGATCACCAAGTGGTTACCACAGCAACAGAACCAGCAACTCAACCAGAGGACAACATGGATCTTCCAGAACTTGAAGTCTCCAGGATCGAACCCGAATCCGACCCAGCATGCAGGAGGCGCGAGACAGACGCTGACAAACCCCAAGTCAACAGCCTCCCACAGCCACAGGTAGGAGCACAGATGCAGTCCGCAGCCTCCCACAGCCACACGCGGGACCACAGTCTCCCACAGCCACACGCGGCCACCACACCATAAACACGATTACCAAACACATGCGAAATGGCACAGGCAAGATAGCAATTTATGGCCCTCCATATCTACATGAAAACTATCTTTTTTGTGGGTGATATTTCAGGAGGGTGACGGTGGGTGCGTGCCTAGGGGCGGCCCGAGGGGCGGGCCAGGGGGCGGCCCGAGGGGCGGGCCAGGGGGCGGGCCAGGGGTCGGGCCAGGGGTCGGGCCAGGGGGCGGGCCAGGGGGCGGGCCAGGGGGCGGACCAGGGGCGGGCCAGGGGGCGGGCCAGGGGGCGGTCCAATGGCGGGCTAGGGGGCGGGCCAGGGGGCGGACCAGGGGACGGGCCAGGGGACGGGCCAGGGGGCGAGCCAGGGGGTGGGCCAGGGGGCGGGCCAGAGGGCGGGCCAGAGGGCGGGCCAGGGGACGGGCCAGGGGGCGGGCCAGGGGACGGGCCAGGGGGCGGGCCAGGGGGCGGCCGAGGCAATGTATTCCCTCCTCCAGCCTCGGCCACACACAGGTAAGTGTGAACAAACACAGATACCGTCCAACGCCTCATAAAATTCTCCTCTCTTCTCCCCATGTTTATGTCTCTTGACCTGACCGTGTGTGTGTCTCGTGTGTTTGTTGGCTGTCTCGTGTGTTTGTTGGCTGTCTCCTGTGTTTGTCTCGTGTGTTTGTCTCGTGTGTTTGTCTCAGTGTTTGTTGGTTGTCACGTGTGTTTGTTGGCTGTCTCGTGTGTTTGTCTCGTGTGTTTGTCTCAGTGTTTGTTGGTTGTCACGTGTGTTTGTTGGCTGTCTCCTGTGTTTGTCTCAGTAATTTTTTAAATTTTGCCCCGAGGGGCGAGTTTATTGGACGCCACTCATCCTGTGAGTGGACACACCGCCATAGTGACAGTATTGGGCAGCGCCACTCATCCTGTGAGTGGACACACCGCCATAGTGACAGTATTGGGCAGCGCCACTCATCCTGTGAGTGGACACACCGCCATAACAGCATGTACAACACTCCCCAAAAGGAAGAAAACCCGCTGGGTTGTTCATCTTGTCATCAAGTGTTACACCAGTTCGCAGTTCTTCATTTGCTCTCCGCTTGTGATGGGAGTGTGCCTTCGTCTTGTTTGTGGAGAGAGTGAAACCGAGCTCAATACATTTCCATCCAAGGAGTTCAATGGACTGTTCAATTTTTCCCAAGGTGGGAGCTTGTATTAGGACATCATCTACATATCCCACTTGTTGTGTTCCTTCCGGAAAATCAATATTTGCAATGGCGTTCATAAGTACATTGAATAGTGTAGGGCTTAAGACTCCGCCTTGGGGGGTCCCGAGTTCCATATTCATTGTTCTGGAGACTGCTCCATTGAAGCAAACCTTGGCTTTCCTTCCTGTGAGGTAGTCTTCAATCCATTTCATGAGTCTCCCCTTGACACCCATGCATGCAAGCTCGTCCAGGATCGCAATCCCCTGTGCTTTGTCGAAGGCTCCTCTGATGTCAACAAATACAGAGTACCTAGCCGTGTCATTAGCCAAGTAATTAACTATACAATTTGCTGTGCTCCGTCCTTTAACAAATCCATTGACCCCCTCCCCTAACCTGCCTATTTTGTGCAACAGTCGGTTTAGGATGATCCTTTCAAGCATCTTGCAAGTGCATGACACGAGACTGATAGGTCTGTAATTACCAGGGTCATTAGGCTTCGGTATGGGAACAATTATTGCGTGTTTCCATTGTGTGGGCAACACTCCACTTAAGAATGACTTGTTAAACAGGTGGAGTAGTGGATTCCCAGACACTTCACACAGTGCATTGAGTATGTCGTAGGTGACGCCATCTTCACCAGGTGCTGTACTTTTACCCTTTTTCATAGCGCCCCTTACTTCCTGGGCTGTGATTGGTTGCCCATATTCGTCATCACTAGACAGTGCTCTTGTTATCCTAATTCTTCTGTCATCATGTCGCAGGAGCTGTTCCCTGCTGATTTCTGCAGGGAGGGAGATAACCCTACCTGGGGGAGATAACCCTGGGGGGGGAGATAACCCCCCAGCATCACCCCCGTGGGGGGAGATGACCCCCCCCCCCCACCAGCATCACCACCGTGGGGGGAGATACCCCCCCCCACCAGCATCACCACCGTGGGGGGAGATGCCCCCCCCAGCATCATCCCTCAGATCAGACCAGTAATTATCTTGCCGTCGCAATAAAAACCAAAGTTGAGTTGTATATGTGAGTAACGTTGTGTTAGGCGCTCTGGCCGTGTGTTGGGGTGTTGTGTCACCTCTTAATTAAATGTTGTGTTACTGAGGACCACCAGCAACACTGGCCTCTCCTCTGCACGATGTTCCAGGGTTGTATAATGTATTGTGTGGGTGTTGCAGTGTTGCTAACTCTTCATATTTGTATTGTAGTGGTGCCATACACACAGTTATCACGCCGCCACACCCTACCCTGCCACACAGTGTTATCAGGCCGCCACACCCTACCCTGCCACACACAGTGTTATCACGTCGCCACACCCTACCCTGCCACACACAGTGTTATCAGGCCGCGACACCCTGCCCTGCCACACAGTGTTATCACGTCGCCACACCCTACCCTGCCACACACAGTGTTATCACGCCGCCACACCCTACCCTGCCACACACAGTGTTATCACGTCGCCACACCCTGCCCTGCCACACACAGTGTTATTACGTCGCCACACCCTACCCTGCCACACACAGTGTTATCACGTCGCCACACCCTGCCCTGCCACACACAGTGTTATCACGTCGCCACACCCTGCCCTGCCACACACAGTGTTATTACGTCGCCACACCCTACCCTGCCACACACAGTGTTATCAGGCCGCGACACCCTGCCCTGCCACACAGTGTTATCACGTCGCCACACCCTACCCTGCCACACACAGTGTTATCAGGCCGCCACACCCTACCCTGCCACACAGTGTTATCAGGCCGCCACACCCTACCCTGCCACACAGTGTTATCAGGCCGCCACACCCTACCCTGCCACACAGTGTTATCACGCCGCCACACCCTACCCTGCCACACACAGTGTTATCACGCCGCCACACCCTACCCTGCCACACACACAGTGTTATCACGCCGCCACACCCTGCCCTGCCACACACACAGTGTTATCACGCCGCCACACACTACCCTGCC